TAATTTCCACATTCTGTCTGGTCACTTTTCTTTGAAAGGGGAACAAATAAAGATCTTTTCCAATCATTTGGTCGGGTGGTTGTCCTCCCCATTTCTTGTCACAACTTGATAAGCGCATTCAGGGCAGCCTTTGTTGAAATATGTCAATTGGTATGCCGTCAATTCCTGGAGCCTTGTTTTTTGTCAGTTCTTTCAGAGCAGCTTGAACTTCCTCCTTCATCACCAGAAGCTCTTGCTTATACATTGTTTCATGAAATTCTTCTTTGTCAACCATTTCCTTTTGGTACAGTGACTCTGTACACTCCTTCCATCTTCTTTTAATACTTCCTGGATCGTTTAATATTCTGTCCAAAGCATCCTTAAGTATTGCAACTCGAAGCTTGGATTTATTCTTCAATTCCTTCATTTTAAGAAATGAAACAACATTGTATTTGAGTTTGACTCTTTTGGTTTTCTGACTCCAGCTCTTTGCACATTTCATTATAATACTTTGCCTTCCCAAGCTGCCCTTTGAAATCTTTTCTCTTCAGCTCCTTAATTTGTTGGTTTCTTCCCTTTGCTTTTGCTTCTTGGCATTGTAGTTCAATATTCAAAGTGTCCTCTGACATCCATCTTGGTCTTTACACTTCTGAAATAATAGGCCTTCGGAAACCCTATGTACAATAAAGCACACTTAGACTACCAGATATTGCAACTGAGGCTGAGACCTCAACTATGGAAACACAATGAAGGAGGACCAGTTGTAAACAGACACTATGATTGGAACGTGGAATGTGAAAAGGATGAATGCAGAAAAATTGAACATTGTTAAGAAAGAAATGGAACACATAAATATTGACATCCTAGGTATTGGCTAAACGAGATGGCTTAGCATCAGACATTTTTAATCAGATGATTGTATGATGTACTATGCTGGAGATTAAAAGGTGAGGAAAAATGGGGTTGCTTTCATAATGAAAAAAGTAATTTCTATATCCATCTTGAAATACAATGTTGTGAGTGACAGGATAATCCATATATATGCAAGGAAGTCCAGTGAATATCACTGTCATGCAAATATATGCACTGACAACTGGAGCCAAAGAGGAGGAAAGAAAAGATTTCTACCAACTTTTCCAGTCAGAGATAGATTGATTTCCCAGTCAGAGATAGATTGAACATGCAATCAAGATTCACTAGTAGTAATGGGTGAGTGGAATGCAAAAGTTGGGAGCAGGGTGGAAGGATCAGTAGTGAAAAACATGGACTTGGTGACAGAAATGAAGCTGAAGATAGAATAATAGAATTCTGTACATTGAATGATTTATTCCTTGCAAATACTTTTTATAAGAAACACAAATCCACGCTATACATATAGATTTCACCTGATGGTATGCATAGACATCAGATCAATTACATGTGTACAAAGAATCTCTGGAGAAACTCAGTATCAGCTGTGAAAACAAGGGCAGGAGCTGATTGTAGAAAAGATCACCAACTATTCATATGCAACTTCAAGCTGAAGTTGAAGAAAATTAAATCCACAGGAACCAAAATTTGACCTTGAGTCCATCCCACTAGAATTTCACAATCATCTCAGGAGTAGGTTTGAGGCCTTAACACCAATGAGCGAAGATCAGATGAGCTGTGGGAGGATATCAAGAATATCATCCATGAAGAATGAAAAAGGTCATTACAAAGGCAGAGGAAGAATACTTGATCTCGTATGACCTCCTAAATGGTTGAGCAGCATTTTTTTACAATGACTGCATTACTTTAATCTTTTAAAGTACTTTCTTGATTATTCAATGTTTTGTCTAAAGGATCTTTCAGTTTTGTAACTCAATGCTTGAATTTGTTTTCTTCAGTTAGTTCAGCTTGAGAAATCTTGATCATCTTTTTTCCTTTTAGTTTTCCAACTCTAAATCTTTGCACATCTTATTATAATACTATGGTTTTTTTTTATTCTTAAGCTACTGTGGTACAATGAATATCCCTTCTATCCCTAACCTTCCATTCTGTGATGAAATATTTATTGTATTAAGGAGATAGCATTAGGGTAGGATACAACAGCTACCCTACTTCTTGTTGTTGCTGTAAGGTGTGTCAAATAGATACTTTGCCACACTATGAATAGACCTGCAGGCTGCCCTAAATTGTGCTGTCCTCACCAGCCCTAATACATTTGCACCTATTGCTAGTCATGATGTCATCTTGTTGAGAGTCTCTCTTTCACTAAATGGAGATTCAATTAGTGGTGGTCAGGTGTTAGAAATTGTGCAGAGTAATTATGACTAAAATGGTAGCGTTAGTTATACAAATGGTACAGAAGTGTATTATTGTCATTAGGTCATGATTACAGGGACCCTGTGTACAACAAATGTTAAGTCTTGAGTGACCCAATACCATCCTCACTCTCTGCTATGCTTAATCCTTTTGTTGGCAGCCATCTGTCAGTCCATCTCACTGAAGGTGTTCGTATACTTCTCCAAATAATGTCCTTTTCCAGATACTTGTCTTCTTGATAATATGCCACAAGTTCATGAGACAAAGTCACCATCCTTGACTCCAAGGAGCCCTCTTTGCCCACTTCATCCAAGGCTGATTTGTTTGTTCTTTTGGCAGTCCATGATTTATTCAATATTTACATACTTTATTCCAATGTCAATATTCTATGTTTTGTTTCAAGTGTGTTTTAATTTGTACATGCAAATCACCTGGGGAATCTTGCTAAAATGCAGAGTTTAGTTTTATAGAGTCTACTTTAATTTTCTGAGTTTTGATATGTATTGTATGCAAATGCATACCTGTCAAGTTGGAACCAACTCACAGCTGACCCTCCAGCAGATTTCCAGCAGATTCTAAATGCATGAAAAGAGATTGCCCATCTTTCTGTCTTTGAGCTGCTGGTGAACTTAGGGAGGCACCACCTTTGTCGTTAGCAGTGCACCTCTCTAAAGTCCACACCACAGAGCTCTTAGGTAAAAATGTGAAACAATGTAAAAAACAATATATTTGAATTTTGTACATAAACCAGTATAAAATTTTTAAAAAGGGGGGAAAAGAAAAAGAAAAAAAAACAACAAAAATATAAACAATGAGAAAAAAATATAAACAATGAGGGAAGCGTGGATGCTTAATAATCAAATATATGACTTTAACAGAATTTTTTTGTTGTTGTTTTTTCTTTTGAGTTGAAACCATTTCATGGCTTACTCTCCAGGAAGTTTTCAGAGGTAGTAAATTGCATGGGAGAAGATTGCCCATCTTCCTCTCATGGAGCAGATGGTGGATTCAAACTACATGCTTTTTGGTTGGCAGCACAACTCTTACCACTAAGCCACCAGAACTCCCTTATGCTGTTGTTGTTGTTGTGTGCCCTGGAGTCAGAACCGACTCATAGAGCTGACCTTCAAGCACATTTTTCAGAGTCAGTTTAATCACATGGCAGGAGATTGCCCAACGTACTCCTGTGGAGCAGCTGGTGGATTCAAACTGCATTCCTTTGGCATTGCAGCATAGCTTCTTAACTAGACCATCAGAGCTCCCTCTATAATGTTGTTGTTGTTGTTATATGCCATCGAGTTGCCCGCAACTCATAGTGACCCTATATGTACAACAACTTAAAACCCTGCTCTACCCTGTGCCAATCTCACTGTTTCAGACACACATACTCCTTTTACCTCAGTCACTGAATCAATCCACCTGATAGAAGGTCTTCCTCTCCTGTGCTGTCCCTACACCCTCCCAAGCATGACATCCTTCTCCAAGGACTGGTCCCTCCTTGCAACATATTCAAAGTATGTCAGATGAAGCTTCAGAATCCTTGCCTCCAAGGAATAACATGGTTTAACCCTCACCAGGATGAACCTGTTCGTTTTCTTAGCAGTCCCTGGTATATTCAATACTATTCTTCAACACCAAAGCTCAAAAGCATCAATTCTCCTCCTACCCCCTCTATTCATTGTCACCTCTCTAATGCATAGCAAGTGACTGCAAAGACCATGGTCTGTATCAGGTACACCTTAGTCTCCAGAGTGACACCACTGCTCTTCAGTTCTTTGGAGAGGTCCCTACCAGCAGACTTTCCCATCGCAAAATGTCTTTTAGGGAGGGGGCAGGGAGAAAAGTGCAACAGTGAATGACTGGAAACCCTAAGTCTCTGTAAACTTTCATTAAAAGTAATTAAAAAAAATGTAAAAAAAAAAACCAAACCAAAACAAACAAACAAAAAAGTCTTTTTAAATTTCCTGGCTGCTGGTGCCTAGAGTGTTGACTGTGGAGCCAAACAAACTAAATTGTTGCTGTTCTTGTTATGTGCCATTGAGTTGCTTGTGACTCACAAGGACCCTATGTACAACAGCCCTAAACTCTGCTCTGTCCTGTGCCAATCTGTCTCCGACACACCCATCCTGATTACCCCAGTCACTGAATCAATCCACCTCATAGAGGGCCTTCCCCTCCTGCACCTACCCTCTACCCTCCCAAGCATGATGTCCTTCTCCAAGGACCGGTCTCTCCTTACAACATGACCAAAGTATGTCAGACGAAGCCTCAGAATCCTTGCCTCCAAGAAGCCATCCCATTTAACTCTCTCCAGGATGAATCTGTTAGTTTTCTTAGCAGTCGATTGTTTTCTTAGCAGTCCATAGTACCCTCAATACTCTTCTCCAAGACCAAAGCTCCAAGGCATCAATTCTCCTTATAGCCTCCCTAGTCATGGTCCAACTCTCTGATGCATAACAAGTGATTGCAAAGACCATGGCCTGTATCAGATGCACCTTAGTCTCCAGAGAGACATCATTGCTCTCCAGTACTTTAGAGAGGTCCCTAACAGCAGATTTTCCCATTGCAAAACATCTATTTTTTTAAAAAATGGAGAAAAAAGCCCTCTGAACTTTATTTCAAAATAAACAACACTAAAAACCAGTATTTGTTCTTCTAAAACAATCCATCAGGTTGATGACTTAGATGATCTTCCCAGTGGCTTGAGATCATTTAATGAATAAATACTGCTCTTATCACTTTCTTGTCGTTCCAACCCTTCCTTGTGGACATTTCCTTCCAGACGCTGGCACTCCTGTGGGCTCCTCATTTTCATCACTATATAGGCCCTCCTCTTCTTCCGCATTTGACCTTTTAGTCTCCCTCTTCATTTTGGTCTTTGGTTTCTTCCATTTCTTTAAAAATCTGTTGACTTTTCTTTGTAAAGAATTGGCCCATTTGCTCCTCCGGCAAAAAGAGCAGCAATAAATGGGCAGAAATCCCAGGATGATCATGCTGCTCACAACAAGCGCAAGAACCCGAAACATCTGTGTAGGCACATCCTTTACTGGCATAAAACAGTTCAATTTACTGGTCTCAGAATAACAACACTGAGACTTCAAACATTCACCCTGGTTGAAATTCTTATGTCCTTTACAAGGCTTTAGCTCCTGGTCCTCCCTTGGAAAACATGTGGTTGGAGAGAAAAAACTGTATAAGGACTGTACAACAGATTCCGTTTCCATTTCCAGAAACTGTCCTTCAGTGTTCTCATCATTCCGGTTTGACTACACAGCATTTGAGATTCTGGTACTCAGGAAGTAGCCAAACAGCAGCCCAGTCCAGACCGAGACCATGAGCAGGGCGAAGTGCCTCTGCGCACACAGCCTCACCAGAGAGCCGTACACCGAGGTGCGCAGGCAGCCCAGCCAGCCGGCCCGACGAGGGGCCACCTGTTGGCGGGGAGCCCGGGCCCTCCAGCGCGCCCTCCTCTGGGAGCATCTGGCTTGGGGTGGGTGTCCTTAGTAGGTATGTTCCTCGAGCGAGATCTCCCGCCCTTTGACTTTTCGGCAGGCATGGCTCCGTCTTCGCGCCTCACGCAAACGCTCCTCGCAAAACATCTTTTAATGCAGACTTTCCCATTGCAATACATCTTTTAATTTCCCGGCTGCTGGTCCCAAGAGTGTTGATTGTGGAGCCAAGCCGACTAAAGCTGTGAACAATCTCAATCTCTTCATCATCCATCCTGATGCTGTCAATTGGTCCAGTGTTGAGTATCTTTGTCTTCTTGACATTGAGCCTCAATCCATATTGAAGGCTGTAGTCCTTGACTCTCTGCAGCAAGTGCTTCAGGTCCTCCTCAGTTTCAGCAAGCAGGGTTGTGTCACCTGCATAAAACATTGTTGATAGACCTTCCGCCAGTCCTGATCCCACATTTGTCCTCATAGAGCCTAGCCTCCTGGATGATCTGTTCTGCATACAGGTTGAAAAGGTATGGAGACAGGGCACATCCCTGGCATACGCCCTTCCCAATTTTGAACCATGCAGTGTTTCCTTGCTCTGTTCTGACGACTGCCTTTTGGTCCAAGCATTAGCACGATCAACTGTTTGTTCTGGTATTCCCATTCTTCTCAGCGTCAGCCACAGTTTGTTATGAGCCACACAATCAAATGCCTTTGCATAATCAATGAAACACAGATAGACAAACCTCTGGAACTCCCTGCTTTCAGCCAAGATCCATCTAACATCAGCTACAATATCCCTAGTACCACGACCCCTTGTAAACCCAGGTTGGACTTCTGGCAGTTCTCTGCTGTTCCAGTCATTTTTGGATAATCTTCAGCAGAATTTTGCTTGCATGTGAAATCAATAATATTGTTCTATAGTTTCCACACTCTGTTGGGTCACCTTTCTTTGGAATGGGAACAAATATAGTCAGTTGGCCAAGTGGTTGTTCTCCAGATTTCTTTTTTTTTTTTCCTTTTTTATCTCCAGATTTCTTGACACAACTTGGTGAGCACATCCAGGGCAACATCTGTTAGCTGAAATATGTCAATTGATATACCATCTATTCCTGGGGCCTTATTTTTTGCTGTTTCCTTCAAAGCAGCTTGAACTTCTTTATCACCATAGGCTCTTGCTCATGTGTTATTTCACGACATTCTTCTGTGTCTGCTAATTCCTTTCGATACAGTGACTCAATATATTCTTTCCATCTTCTTTTAATACTTCCTGGATCATTTAATATTCTGCCTAAAGCATCCTTGATTATAGCAACTCAAGGTTTGAATTTGTTCTTCAGTTCCTTGAGCTTAAGAAATGCTGAGCGAGTTCGGCACTTTTGATTTTCTGACTCCAACTCCTTGCACATTTCATGGTAATATTTTACTTTGTCATCCCGTGCTGCCTTTTGAAATCTTCTGTTCAGCTCCTTAGTATCTTGAATTCTTCCTTGTGCTTTGGCTTCTCTGTGCTCCAGTGCAATATTCAGAGTGACTAAATAGCTGTTAACAATCAATCCTTTCACCATCCATCCTGATGCTGCCAATTGGTTTAGTGGGGGAACTCTAGTTGCCTACTGGAAAGAATCTGTGCTGCTTGCTGCTTATGATGTTAGAAGTCCAAATTCAGATGTCTGCTCTTGGGGAAGGCCCTCTACCACTCGACAGTACACAAAAATTCTTGTTTCGGTTACCATTATAGACTTGACTTTCCTTGGAAATCTCCAAATGTCTTGGCCTATCCTTATGCAAATGAACTTCCCAGATAAGAAACCTGGATCCAAAGAGAATTTCTTCATTATTATTTTGGTGATACTGAGATTCCTTTTTTAGGCTTACTTTCCTCACCTTCAGGGGACCTCTGCTTACATTAGCCCAGGGCTGTAATGGATTACAAGGCATTGTGTCCCACCCTTAATCCGTTTACAACTGATTATCTTATTAGATCTTGACAAAATTTATGTCATTATGCAATAAACAAAGCAACAGGACAGTGTTATTACGTGCCACTGAAACCAGTATGACTTATAGCAACCCTATGACCAGATCTGAACCCTGACCTATCCTGTTCTATCCTCATCATATCTGACATATTTGAACCCATTGCCATAGTCATTATGCCATTCCGTATGGTTGAGGGTCTTCCTTTCCCCAACCCTCCACTCTCCAAGCATGATGTCCCTTTACAAGGAATAACATCTCCTGACAACATGCCAAGAAGAGTGCTGGAGAAGAGTCTTGATCATACCATGGACTACCAAGAAAACATGGGTCTGACTTGAAGAGAGTGAAACCAAGTTTCTCATAGGAGGCCAGGATTATGAAGCTCCCTCTTACATACTTTGGGCCTGTTGCCAGGAGGGATCGATTCTTGGAGATGGACATCATGCTTGGAAGGGTAGAAGGACATTGCAGGAGAGGAAGACCCCAGATAGATGGATTGATACATTAACTGGGGCAATAGGGGTAGTCGTGTCAGGAGTCAGTGAGACTGACTCAGGACAGGGCAGGCTTCAGAGCTGTTTTTATGAGTCCCAGGCTACTCAACAGCACATAACATGCCCAAAGTATGTGCAATGAAGCTTGATCATCTTTGCCTCCAAGGAGCACTCTGGGTATACTTTCTCCAAGATGTCCAGTATAATATCTTTTTGTTCTTTGGCACTTTTGGGGGTTGGGAACAGGACAATTGTAACTTTCTGTGAATCAATAATTACTTCAAAACAAGTTAAAAAATAATAGCCAATTACCATATTTGCAAAAAAGGGAGCTATATTAAAACAAATCACTGAGTGGCAAAAACAAAGTATCAAAGGTGCTTTGGGAGTGGTGGCAGGAACTCCGTACAAATATATTTTGGTGAGGTGGGTGGAATGTTTGTTGCAACTGGCTTGTACTCCTGAGTCAAAATTGTGGTTGATTTTTCAGGAATTTTGCTGGTTGTAATACACAGCCAATGATAAATATTCAATTACATAAACTTGTAATTAAATTATGTTTAAAAAGTTGTTGTTGTTGTTATGTGCCATCGAGTCGCTTGCGACTCATAGTGACCCTATGTACAACAGCCCTAAACCCTGCTCTATCCTGTGCCAATCGCACTGCTTCTGACACACCCATCTGGATTACCCCAGTCACTGAATCAATATCCATCTCATAGAGGGTCTTCCCCTCTTGCGCCGTCCCTCCACCCTCCCAAGCATGATGTCCCTCTCCAAGGACCTGTCCCTCCTTGCAACATGCCCAAAGTATGTCAGACGGAGTCCCAGAATCCTTGCCTCCAAGGAGTTGCTTGGTTTAATCCTCTCCAGGATGAATCTCTTTGTTTCCTTGGCAGTCCATGGTACATTCAATACTCTTCTCCAGCACCACAGCTCAAAGGCATCAATTCTCCTTCTGTCCTCCCTAGTCATTGTCTAATTCTCTGATGCATAACAAGTGATTGCAAAGACCATGGCCTGTATCAGGCGCACCTTAGTCTCCAGAGAGACACCGTTGCTCTTGAGTACTTTGGAGAGGTCCCTAACCGCAGACTTTCCCATCGCAATGCGTTTTTTGATTTCTTAACTGCTGGTGTCAAGAGTGTTGACCGTGAAGCCGAGAAAACTGAAGCTGTGAACAATCTCAATCTCTTCGCCATCCATCCTGATGCTACCAATTGATCCAGTGGTGAGAATCTTTGTCTTCTTGACTGACATTGAGCCTCAGTCCATACTGAAGGCTGCAGTCCTTGACTCTCTGCAGCAAGTGCATGTGCCTTCATAGTAAAAAAAGTAATTTCTAGATGCAGCTTGAAGTACAACATCGTGAGTGATAGGATTATATCCATACGCTTACAAGGGAGTCCAGTGAATACCACTATCATTCAGATATATGCACCAACAACCAGAGCCAAAGAAGAAGAAATAGATGATTTCTACCAACTCTTACAGTCAGAGATAGATCGAACATGCAATCAAGGTGCATTGATAATAATGGGTGACTGGAATGCAAAAGTTGGGAACAGAGAAGAAGAATCAGTGGTTGGAAAACATGGGCTTGGTAACAGAAATGAAGCTGGAGATAGAATGATTGAGTTTTGTACAATCAATGACTTATTTATTGCAAATACGTTTTATAAGAAACATAAACGCAGGTTATAAAAAGTGGTACAAAACTGAAAAAGTGAAAAAACATGTACCAAAGAGTCTTGTTGCTTTGATTGATTTTTTAAAAAAATATGTTTTTCCATGTAGTGAAGCGGTGTTTCCATGTAGTAAAGCGGATCTATCTAAACAACTTTGCAGAAGTCCTTCTGTCAAGGGTATTTATTTCTTTGTAAATGAGTCTGCCAGTTGCCTTCTCTTGTTTCACAGGCATCTTTTGCCGACAACGGCCGCACTGCGCCTCCTGGCGGGCCGGTAGGAGCAGCTTCGATGGAGGGTCACGCCATGCCAGGCATGACGTCCGGGGAGCCGGCTCGGGTGCTTCTGCGCATGCGCTCTCTCAGTGCGGCCATCTTACTGTCTGTGCCTGAGGCGGGTGTGGAGGCAGGAGAACGTGAGCTTGCGGGAGGTCAGGGGCGGGACATCCTCCGGTCCCATCTCATTGGAGTGGATGCTTGTCCATCATAACCTTGATGATCTACGACTCCCCCTGCCCCGGACTTACAGGAACATGGTCAGTCCTGGCGTGTTGCCATTCTTACTCTGCAGGAACGCTGCAGAGTGAGTGCTAGCGAGGGCTCTGCACTAGTCCCTCGGGAC